GTACTGAAGAGATGTGCAGCTGAGCTTGCTCCAGTTCTTTCGCGTCTCTTCCAGATATCTTATGAATCCGGCACCTTCCCAGAAAACTGGAAATTTGCTCATGTACAGCCCATCCCAAAAAAAGGATCTAAAACCGACCCTTACAACTACAGGCCTATAGCTCTGCTTTCTGTTATAAGTAAAGTGATGGAGAGGTGCATAAATCGCGAGCTTCTGGACTACCTCGAACGTCACAGCTTGATTAGCGACAGGCAGTACGGTTTCCGGCACCAACGATCCACAGGGGACCTCCTAGCTTACGTCACGCAACTGTGGAGTAAACTCATCCAGTCTCATGGTGAGGCTCATGTCGTTGCTCTTGACATCACGAAAGCGTTCGATCAGCTGTGGCACGCTGCCCTCTTGAGCAAACTTCCATCCTACGGCCTCCCAGAAAAGCTTTGCAGATGGGTGGCTGACTTTATCTCTGGCCGCAAGATATCCGTCGTAATTGATGGATTCTCCTCTTCATCCCACAACGTCAACGCGGGTGTTCCCCAGGGATCGGTCTTGGCTCCAACACTGTTTCTCCTACATATCAACGACCTCCTTTCCTGCACGATCAACCCAATCCACAGCTTCGCTGATGACAGCACTCTACATGCAGGAATTCAGAGTGACAAGCCGATCTCTGCCGCTGAGCTGGAAAAAAGAAGACTAGCGACGACTTCTTCTCTGACAAGAGACCTGGAGGCTATCACTGCTTGGGGACGCAACAATCTTGTACAGTTCAATGCTTCCAAAACACAGTACTGTACTTTGACGAACAAAAAGCGTCCTAGCGCTCATACAGTTTCGATGGACGGTCGAGTTCTACCAAAGAGCCATTCATTTCGGCTGGTCGGAGTCCAGATCACCGAGGACCTGATCTGGCACGAACACATCTCTTCAATAGCTGCAGCTGCTGGGAAAAAGCTAGGCTATTTGTTTAGGGCTAAGAAGTACTTTTCTCCGCATGACCTTCTCACTCTATACAAGGCACAGATAAGGCCTAGCCTCGAGTATTGCTCACACATTTGGGGTGCTGCCGCCCCGACTACATTGTCGATGCTCGATGCTGTCCAGAGGAGGGCGGTCCGACTGATCGATGACTCTTCTCTAACAGACAGTCTCGGGACTCTTTCGCACCGGCGGGCCGTCGGCGATCTAGCTCTTTTCTATCGCTACACCAACGGGCTTTGCTCCTCAGAGCTCTCTTCCATGATGCCGCCGCGCGATGTGCCTGCCAGACAGACCCGCCTGACTTCGGCGTCCCATCCTAACCGTGTCAAACTTCGTACATCCAGAACTGGCCGATACGACCGCTCCTTTGTCCCGAGGGTGTCTAGATTGTGGAACAAACTACGGGAGGAAGCTTTTCCCAGTTCTACTAACCTTAGGCAGTTCAAAAATCGTATTAACAAAATTTCTTTGGGATCATCATAGCAGCCGCGGTGTTCCGGCATTTAGGCTTCTGCCTGCGCGGCTGTTTCGATATAAAAAAAAAAAAAAAAAAAATGTGCATGCAACATGCACTCATTCTGGCCCAGTGTTAGAGATCCGTCAGGTGGTACTGATTAGAAGACTCATAACACCATAAAAGACGATATATGAACATACCAATTCAGCTTCACACCACCACTACTACTATTACTGCTGTGTAGCTTTGCATATGCTGTGGTTACTATTTAAGCATGTAATAAACTAATGCGATCATAAAAATTATGATAAATGAACATTGCTGATTTGTAGTATTCCCATTATGAGTGTGCAGTCGCTTGGGACTCGAACGGCGAGAGCGACATATCTCGAGTTCCTGAAGCATCTTATGTACAGGGTGCGGCAGAGAGGATGGACGTTTTTGGTATGGGTAGTACTCTCCGCCTCTGTCTACGAGAGAGGTGGGGAGGGTGCCGTTTGACTCGTGAGGTCGTGAGATCCTAGCATTATTTTACCAGTTGTCGTTATGGAGCCTTGGACGGTGGAGCACCGCGTTTTCGCCTATGAGTGACGAAGCCCAATTTCACCTAAACAGCATGGTTAACCAGCAGAATTGTCGTTATTGGGCTAATGAAAATCCGCAACAGTACACGAAAGACCGCTGCACAGCCCAAAAGTAACGGTTTGGTGCGCTGTATCGAAAACTTGCATCATTGGCCCTTACTTCTTCGAAGACGGTAATGGTCGTGATGTTACCGTGAACTCAGAGCGCTACGTCGACATGATCACCAACTTCTTTCTCCCTGAATTACGACGGCGACGTGTTCCAATCCGACGTGTGTGGTTCCAGCTGGATGGAGCGACCGCCCACACAGCCCGAGCATCCATGGACGTTATTCGCCCTCTCTTCCCTGGTCGCCTTATTTCCAGGTTTGGCGATGTTCATTGGCCTCCTCGGTCCCCAGATTTATCCATATGAGATGTTTTCTTATGGGGACACCTCAGGGCTAGAGTATACGCGAACAAGCCCCGAACTCTGGACGAATTGAAGGGCGAAATTCGCGTGGAAGTCGCCCAAGTTGAGAGAGCGATGTTGGAGAGAGTCTACGTGAACTTCCAAGAACGCCTCCAGCACTGCATCAACGATTTCGGCCACCACATGTCTGATTTGATTTTCCACACTTGACTGTCTCAAATGCTATTTCCTTGTGAACCTGATTCCATCAATAAATTTGTTTTCGGGTAAAAATTAACTATTTTATGATTTTTTTAAAACCGTCCATCCTCTCTGCCGCACCCTGTATAAAAGATGGCGTCAAGTAAGTAGACTCTATACTTCCTACGCAACACTATCATCAGTTCATAAAGGATTAAGTCAGTTACGAATATGTACAACACAGGAATTAAATGGATCGGGTCAGTCAACAGCCCCATATAATTAGTCCAGAGACATTCTTTCCCTGCCATACCGGTATTTAATGTCCATTTGGCAACTTTGTCCCTTTCCACATTTTCGCGGCAGCGCCCAGCATGGCATCGCTGATGCGAGTTATCGTGTATATGTTTTTTGTGCTACAGTACGGATAGATTTGTCAGCCTGGCGGCGAGCTTAGATAGCAGGACTACGCATCCTTGGCTTAGTAGCAACCTTGTCGGGAAATTTCATCAAAATGCGGTAATTCGCAAGTTATAGGTTGGCCAAGGATTAGACATACAGATAAGTGTCGTACATGAACGACCCCCCATCCTACATAAGGGATGGCAAAAATTGTGCGTTGAATTTTTGACCTAGGAACTATCGAGTCATGTCGCAATTATCGACAATAATTTATTAACAGTTGTGAAAATATATCTTTTTGATCTCCTAGTATACAGTATACATTAAGCAGAATTTTGCTACTTTAAAAATACACTATTGATGATATGATTATATAATAGTCATTACCATTAGTATGCCAGAAATAGAAGAAACAATTTTACTCATATATTTTTCGAGAAGTTCCAGGTATGCCGGAATTCAATATTTTATTCTATTACCAGATACACTAAAATACACGAATTCATTGCAAATATCTAAGAAAAAAATGCTTTTATAACCTCTCAAATGTAACTAATATTGATTTATAAATGTTTTCGTAAATTACTTAATCACTTACATGTTTTTGTAATGTTTTAACGTCTTTGTACATGTTTCATTTCATTTGCCTCTTTTTTTTGTGTTGATGATACACTATCTAACCTGCCATAGTGCACTCGACGAATCTGACATGTATCATTATATCATATTGGTAATAAATAAAAAACTAAAAGATGAATAGTTTATTCACTGAAACAAAGCAGTTACGTCATATTTAGTAAATTTGAATGCTAACTTTAATTAATTTTCCGAGTAAATTTATGTTGGTAACAGTTTTCTGTGTTGTGACATTGTCTCAAACCTTGTCAGGTAATTACGGCAACCACTGTTGTTTATTTGTGGATTATTTTCGTTCTTTTTATTTCGATATTTGCATTGCTATTTTAAAAAAAACTGTTTTTTTTAAACCTTTAGGTGTCCTTTTAAGCCTTTTGTTAAAATGTCGACATCTCTGTGTGGACGAGCGAAAGAATTCGTAATTTCTTTGGTGAAATATTCTGAGACCGAACGAGATCATGGAGCTCTGTTACTGCCTTTGCAGTCCGTAAGAGAGATATTATTTAGTAAGTAGAATTTATACTAGTTCTAGCGTTTATAAAATATACGCTCCGTTAAGCTGGCCACTCACGTTCCGGTAGACCTGTGCAGGTACAACTGTGCAGGTAAAACTGTACAGGTATACCGAAGACCTGACAAGCCCACACACGCTATGGTGAAATTCTAGAATTTGTTCAGTTGATGATGGCGTCGAAAGGTGATGATGCATTGGCTGTGCTAGCACTCTTATTGACTTTAAATAAACGTGTAAGGAAAAAACGGGAAAAATGGTGCAAAGATTGGATACTAAAGCGAAAAAGTTACAGTCACGTCAATTTATTGAACGGGTTAAAATTTGAACCTAAAGATTTTCAAAACTATCTACGAATGGATGAGAAAACATATTTAAAATTGCTTTCTTTGGTGAGTCCTTTTATTATAAAGAAGGATACTGTAATGAGAAAATCCATTTCACCTCATCAAAGATTAACTGCAACTCTAAGATTCCTAGCAACAGTAAGAAGTTATGAAGACTTGAAGTATTCTACAATTATTTCACCTCAGGCCCTGGGAAAAATAATTCCCGAAACGTGTGATGCTTTGTATAAAGTTCTGCGCAAACAATACATGAAAGTAAGTAAAAGACAAATTATTATTTTTTAAAACGTATTTATTACAAATTATTTAAGTAGGAATATTAATAATTATTATTAATAACGGCATTATTTGATAGATGATGACTTGTACTTTAGCAGCCTGAATGTACATTTTCAAGAATTTAAAAAAAAGTCTGCGGGTGTACATAACCTTAAAAGTTGACAAAAACAGGGTTTTTGTGCACTTTAGGATTTCCTTATCTAAGGGGATTTCAAAATTCTTTTACCACTTGATCGTCTGTGAATTCGGTAAAATAAGAAGCAGCAGATGTATTGTTCAATCGTACAACCACTACATCATCAGAAGACAGTTGTTGTTGGTTTGTTGAATTGTTTTGTTGGAATTGACAATTTGGACTTGTAGCAGGGGTACTAATAAAGCTGGTAGAGGACGAATATGATGTAGAATTGGAAGCCGACTGGCAAGGCAATATAAGTGGCTGGTGTTGCTGCATGTTAGGATTTCTTGCATTATACATTTCCTGCATGTTAACGCATCTATGTTGCAGTGTAAGGCCGCCCAGTTCAGCCTCGAATATTACATCGTTGATTATTTTTTCTGCAATTAGACTCTGCCTTTTGTCCACTTCTCTTACATGTAGTTTCATAGCAACAGTTTTCCCAAAAACATCAAAACGGTCTTCCTCTGTACGTGGACGCTTAAAATGTTCTTGCACAGTGGTCAAAACATCCTTGGTTAAAGAATCGTAGTTGTTTTTTCCTGGCCTTGATCGAGAAATAGTCACTGTGCCACTCTTTGAAGAACACGCAACCTTCTCATTTTGCGTTAGCGATTCGGTACCATCTGTTGTAGGTTGTGCTTGAGATGGACATTCCGAGTCAACGTTTTCTTGTACTGACTCAACCTAAAATAAACAATATTATTAACATTAAAATAATATTACTTAGTATTTATTTGTAATATATACTTAGTATTTATTTGTAATATTATATTTATTTGTAATTTTGTAAACATTGTAATTTTATTGTTTTATTTTTTCAGTTTCCAAAATGCCAGGAAGATTGGAAAGAAATAGCAGATTTATTTGAGGCACGATGGAACTTTCCACACTGTTTGGGCGCAATCGACGGCAAGCACATTGACATCATTCCGCCGGCTGGAAGTGGCTCTGAATTTTTTAATTATAAAGGCCGACACAGTATGGTTCTTTTAGGAATTGCAAATGCCAAATATCAATTTATTTTAGCAGATTTTGGGACCAATGGAAGAATTTCGGATGGAGGTGTTCTCCAAAACACAAAATTTTTCGAAATGTTGACAAAAGGTGATTTACGTATCCCAACCGAAAAATATGTCAAAGGAAATGGTAGGAATCTGCCGTATGTGTTTGTCGCCGACGACGCTTTTGCTTTACGCAGCGATATGATGAAACCATTTCGACAAGCGGACTTGAACTCGAACGAGAAAAAAATATTTAACTATAGATTGTCTCGTGCAAGGCGCATCATCGAAAATACGTTTGGAATATTGGCTGCACGATTTCGTATATTTCATACTCAAATTAATGTTGAACCTGAAAACATTATTAAAATAGTAATGGCCGCAGTTGTGCTGCACAATTTTCTAATAGAAAATTCACCAAAATCATACGCACCTAAACAATGTGTTCAAGAAGAAAATGCTGACGGAACCGTTATTAATTATGGATACAATACACAAAACTCTAGCATGGAAAATTTAGAGCAACGAAACCCCGGCAATATCAATGATACAGCAAAAAATGTTAGGGAAAATTTCATGTATTACTTTAATCATGAGGGCAGCGTACCATGGCAAAACAAATATATTATCTAAATATATAATGAATATAAATAATAATAGATTGTGTTTTATTAATTTACCTCAGATAAAGTCTCCTCATCTGCATTCAAGTTCGATGTGGAATTTCTTGGCGTTTCTTGGTCACCAAGAAAGACAAATAAGTCGTAGTACCACAACTTAGGGTGATAAACTTCATCTGCGGATGCTCCCGACTTAACAGAATCTTCATATTTTTTTTTCTCTTTTCTTACATTGCTTCTTAGATTATTAATTTTTTTTATTACAGCATTTTTATCGGCTCTAGGATCTAATTCTTTCAGTTTCTCCACAAGTGTCTTATATGCTGCATCCCTTTTTGCACGATCATGATATTCTTTCGCCTTAATTCGCCATAAACAGGGCGAAAATTTATAAATATCTATAAACTCAGCAATTATTCGACGTTGTTCTTCCGTACTTAACGCCATTTTATTAAAAAAACAAGTGGCCTTCGTATCCAATTACCGAAAAAACTGACGAACTGTACAGGTTAGTCGGCACACACGTTTCGGTACATCGTACGACAACACTCTGGCACAGGTACACCGAATCGATTTTCAATTCTGCTCCGGTCACCTGCACAGTTGCTCCGAACTGCGCAGGTTTGCTCACACACATGTTGCAGTATACCTGTACAGGCACGCCTGTGCAGGCATACCTCTCAGGTCTACCGGAACGTGAGTGGCCGGCATTATGTTGGTTGCGATAAGGCATCGAAGACTTGACGTAGATTTTGTAAAACTTTCTAGGACCTAGTAGTTTTAATTAATGTGGCAACAATGTGCGTCGCTGTCATTATTTGACGTAGTGACGTAACTGCTTTGATTCAGTGAATAAACTATATGTATGTGAGTTTATACAATCACAGAATTGCTAGGTCCGCCTTGTCTAAAAACGTACGCCAATGAATATTGCAAATCCACTAGAATTTGGCGGTCAAACGAGTTTTTGCGGTTCTCTGCAGGTAGTTGCAAACCTGTCCCTTTTTTCTTCTGTTTTCTAAGCAGTCCGTAGTTCCGAAGAACGCGACTTTCTCAGAAGGCCCACCAGAATAGTAGATGCCAAATTGCATAGGCGGACTGTTTAGGGTTAGCCAATAGATGGATATAAAAATAAGTGTAAAAAAAAACAGAAATGGTCAAGTCGCTCGTCTGAATCCTTCAAAGCTACACACATCCTTATTTATCCAGGTTATACCCATTTCGAGGTGTGATGGGCTTATGTTTTCACGATAAGCAGAAACGTACGTCGCTCGGGTTACCAATCCTTTTATTTCTGCTCCCGTTCATTTATTGCGGACAGGCCCACAATATTTGTTTTTCTTTGTAGGTAGCTGCATCTGGCCTTTGTGGCGACGTTATTATGCCTGGAGGTCTTCTGACCGAAGCCATAAATGTCATATTTCGCTTTTCACCCTTGTTTTCCTTCAGGTTACACCCTTAAATAGAGGTGATGGGCATTATGTTTTCACTTCGGTGTTTTCGATGAACTTTCATTATGGGCCTGATGAAGCCAATAAGCAAAAACGTACTTGGCTCGGGTTACCAAAGCTCTGCTTCTGTTCCTTTATTGCGGACATGCTACACCAAAATTATCCCTAATAAATCCCCGAAAAGGTGCCAAATATTAACGGGAAGTGCCTAAAGTTAATAGTACGGATCCATTTTTTTTACCTATATATCCCTCTTCGACTAACTGAGTATATGATATGATACAATATTCAAAGGTGTGATTTTTACTTCCTACGCCATACTGGGGAAGGAGTATTGAAATCGCGGAAATATCGAAAACGAGATATTATGTTTTTTAAATATTATATGACATGTACACCACGAAAAGTCATGTCACTCATTTCCATTGGTTTGACTGCCTGTCGGTCACTAATCCTCGGACCTCCTTAAACTTGAGAAGTAGCGGTCAGATTTGAATGAAATTTTCACACCAGGTTATTACTATGCCAAGGACGAAAAAGCTTTATACTTTTTGAAAAAACTTTGTTTTATGTCGTTCCAGAGGAGCTCGATTAATTTTGAAAATTTTTTAAGTATAAACAATAAAAAAAATAATTAAGTATAAAAATTTCTATTTTTTGATGTTAGTTCATTCGTACGTTCCCAACCCTGGCAATTTTACGTATCTATTAGACATATTTTAGACGGTTTCCCCGTACATTTCCTTGAAACTTAAAAATATTCTCAGCAGACCAATCGCGTACCTATCGGCCGCGTCTGCTTCTGCTCACGGCGGCGTGCGGGTCTTGGTAGTGTTCTGGTATTACTTCCGTGCCTTACTGGTGACCCGGTTAGGCATGGTAGAGAGTCGACATTGTCCGATAGACTACCGGTAGGACAGTGAAATAATGGACATACGGATCTCTTGATTGACTTTTTTCTCAGAGGGTCTAGCTTGTGCTAAGCATACTCCTTCACGAACAGGTGACGGCATTGCGTGATAAGTGAAAAGTCAACCCACTTGATGCCATTTTTTGTTTATTTCAGGAGATAAGCTCATGCGTATTTATCCAGCAGAAAACCTCAATTGCAATTTTATCCAGGGCATTCAAAAATTTTGTTCCAAAATTTATTTTCAATTATTTCTAAAGCAACTCGATTATGACAGTATTCACACACTTTTTGAAATACCCCTACCTACGTTTATGACTAATCTGCCAGCATAGTCACGTATATCGTCAGGCTTTTACGATTTCGCATGCAGATGGAAAAAGGGTTGAATTCTTGAATAAATCGTCAATGACTGTCCATAAACTCGACCCCCATAAAATATCAAGGGAAGGGAAAGGGCGAGCCTGTGTCAGACACAATTCGATACCCATAAAACTGTTGGGAACCAGTGGCTCTCATTTGTTCAAAATCATCCTTCGTGATGAAAGATTTTGAACAAATAAAGTCACAACTTTAATGTTCAACGTATATTATTCGTCCATTATCTTACTCCAAATGCGACACTTTAATATTTTGTGCGAACCATATTCAAAATCAGCGTCTCAAGTCTTAAGTTACCTTAGGGCCAATTTCACCAACATTAATATTTCACGGTCCCTTGGACCAATAGGAAAAGACCTTATCGAAATGCAATTTGACGGAAGCTGTCAAAGCTCTCTGAATATCAGTGATTTCTATTGAAATGTTGAATAAAGTCGTGAAAAAACGGTTGCCTTATAAATAAGGGTACATTATAGATGTAATATTATGTCTTTGTGCTTTAGAATTAGAATAACTTTCATAGAATTTCAAATTTTTATCATTTCACAAAAGACGGTCAGTTATTTAAATGGACCAATGAAAATAAGAGAAATAATAGGTCAATTTTTTAGCTATTATATTTAGTAGGATGTTTTCACTATTTTTGACGACTGTTCATGCATGGCAATCTAGTTTTGTCTGTATATCACGTACAGGGTGTTGTACATAATACGTACCTATAGAAATGCACCAGTTTTTGTTATTTTGCAAAAAAAAAGGATATAAAACGTATTCCAACTGGTTCATCATCTTTTGTCATATCAAAAACAATTTTTGCCAATTTATGATCTAGATCAAATGTAAAAAAAACAGCACATTCTGCATTTCTGGGTCCTAAAACATCGATATTTGTAAAAGTATCCGCATCCACCTATTATTCATCGTCTACGAGCCCCTTCCCACTTCAGTTGGCCCACTTCAAGGTTTGTACCAAAATGTGCCTTTATAAACTAAACATGACGAAACTATTTACTTCTAAAACAATTTATTTTCTCAAAAATATTTTAGATACACTCTAGTCGTAAAAAATGCATATTTGAAATCACTTAGACCTATAACTAATAGAACATCTGAACAAATAAACAATGTGCGAATAAATGCGCGAAGTTAACGAAGCAACAATTGAAAGATTACCATTGGGTAACATCACCTTTATTTTTTATTACGGCTGAAATTCTTTGGGGCATAGTGTTAACCAAGTTTTGGCAAAAATTTCGTGTAAAACAATCCCATATTTCTTGAAGCTTTTGTCTCAGTTCGGTGATTGTACGAGCAGGATGTTATCGTAGAACCTTTTTCATCTCGTGCCAAGTTTCAATAGGTGACAGATCTGGACTGCTAGAAACCCATTTCAAAAGTGGTACATTATTTTCTTCCATCCATTTTATAGCCTTTTTTGAGGTATGGCACGCTGCACCATCTTGCTGAAACACAAAATCTTGGCCAGATGTCAAACATTCTTCCATCACTGGTAAAAGCGATTCTTCTAAAATTGCCACATATTTGTTTGTATCCACATTTCCATCAATAAAATGAAGTTTTCCTACTCCATTTGATGACATACTGCCCCAGACCATAATGGATGCTGAGAATTTCACTTTGCTCTTCAGACAGTCAACATGGAATGCTTCATTTTTTTGCGAATAACTCTACTGCGACTGTCACCAACACAAACTTCGAATCGGGCCTCATCACTCCATTGTATTGTACACCACCATTGTTGAGGTGTCCATTGTCTATGTTCTTTAGCCCATCTAAGCCGATTTTTCTTTTGTAGTGGAGTTAATAGTGGCTTTTCTTTGGCCTGTAAACAAGTTGTGCAACTTTAGGGTTTTTACTTCACTTTTTTTATAAGAAAACTTACCTTGCAAGTGCTAAATCCCAGTTTGTGGGCCTCTCTATGAGTTGTGGACCTCGAAATTCTCCTTCCAACAGCGTCACTCCACAGAGCACTTGATTGTAAATAATTCTCACGCCTGTTTTTCACGATTATTCTTCTTAACGCTCTTCAGTCGGCATTTGTGATATCACTTTTTTTCACATATCGTGGCTTAATATTAACTGAACCAGTTACATTATATCTTCTAACAATATTTCTCACACTGTACCGCGATAAATCTAACTAAGTTGCAATTTCTGAGTTTGACTTCCCAGAATTAAAAAATTTAATTATCAGTAACCGAATTTTCTCACTAATAACCTTTCCTCTACCCATTTTGAAAACCTTAACTACCCAAAACTATTCTAAACGTATTCTGACAGCTGTGATTAATAAAAACAATTGTCTTGGCTTTTATTTTTCACAGCCACATATGCGTTATAGACTTATTTTGCATTGAAATGAAAATAGGTTGATATGCTGTAATTGCAACATGTGTTATTTTTATGCTGCAAATTTGATTAGGGAGTGATAAAGTTGGTGTTTTCTACTATACAGGTATATTATCAAAATATTCATTGTTAATAATTTAAACCTATAACACCCTGCTACATTTTTATTATTTGTGTTTGATAAGAAAAAAACTAAGATTTCAATAGTTGGGCCAACTGAAGTGGGAAGGGGCTCGTAGATATTATAAGTCAGAATCAAAAATACCTATTTATGAAAATATATCTCCAAACATTGTTATATTTTCTTCTTATTTCTTTTCTTATAACACGTCTGGGATATCAATTGTTTTTAAAGTGATCTGTACATCTACAGTGTTGCCGAAAAGGCAAAAAAACGGAATCGGTATAAGGTAAATGCCGTCCCAATATCAGTGGTAGATCAAGGACCGTTGAGTCATGAAAGACGTCTGTTATTGTATTGGGCGCGCATACAACATGTTTTTTGAGGGCATAGTTCTATATTACAACTCCTGCAATGTGCGTACTCGTCGCTCTTTCAAAGTACTTTACAACCATTCTGGAAACTCCTTTTTAGATTCCTGCTTATAGGATTGTAAATATTTTTCTATTATACCCCTGAACTCATGAACTCATCTCTCATTTTATTTAAATATTTATTTTGAAAACAGGCAGGTTTCGGTTTCTTTATTGCTTATGTGATGAGTTAATGACGGTAATCTATCAGCCTGTTCCTGAACAACCAAAAAATATTTGACTTTATGGATTTATGGATATCAAAAATCCTGAATGGTTTTGTGGGAATATCAAACGACGGTGTTATAATGGTACTGATGAACGGCAAGTAAATGAATGAATGTTTGGAAACGAGCAATATCTATGAAATTTTTGGTAGAGCCTGTCATCAAGTAGGTGCTTAATGGCTATCTGCAAGAGTTTTATAGGAAAAAACACACGGTAG